GTATCCCTAGATCTTGTTCCTTTTTATGTGTACGTGTTAAAAAGGTGTACCATTATGCCTTACTAAAAAATTGGTCACAGGAACCACACTCACCCCCATCGGCCACAGGTGCTCCGGAACAGGACCAGCAATACCAACACGTTAAGGCAGCAAAAAAGATTTACAGGCACTCAAAGTGTGAAAGTCACAGGCAGATTTATTGTAACAAAACAGACAGCAATGTTTCAACCTACCAAGAGGTCTGTGTCAAGCTTGACAAAGACCTCTTGGTAGGTCGAATTGTTGCCGTCTGTTTTGTTACAATAAATCTGCCTGCGACTTTCACACTTTGAGTGCCTGTAAATCTTTTTTGCTGCCTTACTATAGTTTGGTGTCAAGCCTGGCCATTCTATGAACTGATATATGCTTATATGCTGATTTCACTATTTCTCTGGTGAGGAGATAATACCAATCACTGCATATGGGGATCAGTAGACTGAGACTGACAACACCCTTTTGAACTCTAATCGCTAGAGCAGGCTATCCAGATGTTTTGGACTATATATCCCATGATGCTTTGCCAGCATTATGACTGTCAGAACATTATAGGAGGTAAAGTCCACATCTGGACTGACAATCGTTACCTTCCATTGGTCCAGAGGAAGATATAGAGAGGGAAACTGAATTATCAAGTGGGATGATGGCATTGGTATAAACATACAGGACCAATACTCTTATTAAAACTAATGTGGTACAATAACGGAAATGTATAACAAAACATGACAAAACAAGTTTGCTTCAAGGTTTGCATTATCCATTACTAAAATGTATATTGGTAACTAAAATAGCTCATTAATCTATGTTGAATAATAACGTGTGTTCAGTTTTATAGACTGATTAACTCCATATGTAACATTAAGCTCAGCTTGAATTCTTTACTAACAAACTGATAAATCAAAGCTATCAGTTAACATGCTTACATGCTGTGTTCCTTGATTATTCTATACCTTTATAAGTAATGTATAAAACCTCATAATGTGTATCTCTAGATGCTATTAGTAGTGACTCATTGAAAGTTTATGGTGAAGACTATTAAACTGAATTTTAAGAACAAGAATAGAATACAGACATAATTAATGATTTACTCTACCTTACGTCTGACACACCCAACCATGTGATAAAGCTCTTTAAAAAAAAAAGAAGTGAACATAGAAATAAAAATGGTGAAGAAAAGAAAATAGAAAATGGAAAAAAAGGAGAAACATGAAAAAGGGATTGAAGAAAAATAAATAAATTAATTAATTAATTAACTACCCATAATATATAATTTGGTTTACACTGAATACACACTAATAATAAAAAGGAATGCTTCAAGAACATAGGTTTCAGTAAGGAAGTTGCAGTGTAAAACTGGTATACATTTTAGAAAATGTACCAAATTTAAGCACAAAGTAGTGTACCATCACAATATATCAACTGCATCAAAAAGTATTTTTTTAATGCAAAGTTAAAACATGGGGAGTCAGTTACTGGGAAGTTGAATGCATTTTGCACCCACACAGGTCTTTCTTAACAGCTGCAATTAGAGAAAAAGAGATTTGAATATTTTGTAAATAATTAGTTAGGAAATGTATGAGAAAAAGGAGGAAGAAGACAAAGTAAAAACATATTGCTCAGTCGCTCGCAATCACAGAAAAAAATGTTTACAACAAATTAATAAAAATACATCATATTGACTTCAAATTGCTGATAAAAAAATAGGATCACATGTGCACGTAACATGTTAACTCTAATTTGTGCAGTAGGAAAAGTATATGATGCCTGTCCTGAACACCCTTCCTAAATTTCTTGCCCAGTCACATCATCTAAAATACAGTCGCCGGTACACACAATCAAAATCTTCCTCCACAGGGGCAGGGCCTGACACTCTAGATTGCCAGTTGTGTTTTCTCATAACTCTTGGTATCTAACATTTGTATTGTAGCAAAATGCCACAAAAGCAATTCAGAATTCATCTTGTTTAAACTGCAGACTTACACTAACTCTACCTGCACTGTTTAATGCCTGACATGTTTTGGATGGTACCAATGCCAAATAATATACTTTTGTACGGATAAAAGATCAAAGCTCAAAGTAATGTTCACATAAAATAAAGCACACCAGTATATGGAACTGGTTGCTGAAAAGCAATATTAGCAATATCGCCAAAACACTAAAAAATTGATGGAACAACTGGAGATATAAATAAAACCAGTTTATTGATAAAAAATAAAAATTAAGGTAAAAATAAAATCACAGTAAAATAGCCAGTCTATAGGAGATGGAAAAAGCAAGAGAACCTTTGAACCAGACCGTGATGGATGAGGATGATGTTGGTGAGCCGGTGAGGACAGCGTGCGTGTCACAGTGCGTTCCACTACAGACCTCAAATCAAGGGATGAGCACTGTTCTCACAGGATGAAGATTACAACGGGTTCGGAGCCTAGAGTGGATAGAGGTGCTTGCAGACGGATCCTTGCTGGCAGTGACTTTGTTTAATTCAATCCTTTGGATGTCTAACGAGTTTCGTAGGGATAGAGCCCTACTTCATCAGAGACAGTATTGTAAGTAGGGTTAGGAGTAGGGTTATGGTTAGAAGTAGGGTTAGGGTAGGATTAGGGTTAGGAGTAGGAGTACCCTAATCCTACTCCTAAACCTAACCCTACTCCTAACCATAACCCTACTCCTAACCCTACTCCTAACCCAACCCTAACCCTACTCCTAACCCTAGCCTGACCCTAACCCTACTCCTAATCCTACTCCTAACCCTACTCCTAACCCAACCCTAACTCTTCTCCTAACCCTAACTCTACTCCTACTCCTAACCCTTACCTTAAACCTACTCCTAAACCTAACCCTAACCCTTACCCTAATCCTAACCTTAACCCTAATCCTATGCTTACCCTAAGTCCAAAAGTGCCGAAGTGCTGAATTCCTGAAGTCCCGAAGTGCCGAACTGAACTGCCGAAGTGCCGAATTGCCAAAGTCCCGAATTTTGGAAGTGCCGAACCAAACCGTATTGCTGAAGTGCCGAATTGCGAAGTCCCGAATTGCTGAATTTCGGAATGCCAAACCAAATTTTTTGCCCATGCACATCCCTACTGAATTGTACAAGAGTCTGGGGCTGGTGGGCAGCTGATTCATGGGATCCGGACTACCCATCATACTAGGACAGATCACACTGTTTGATGGGCATAATAGAGCCTACTCTTATCCTCATTATACATAGAAGGCAGTTGTTTTATGTTTATGTTAATTTTATGTTATTTTTCATCACGTTTTGTTGCATTACATTACCACTCTTAGTTTTGCTCCACACTTGGTCCTTATGTTGAGTCCTTTGGGTTCATGTATTTTAGTACATTATATTTAAGACAGATGCCTTCCCAGTAGAATGTCACTCAGTCACACACTAATCAAGTTGATTGTACAATGTCATCACGTCTAACTCCCTTGAACTTGTATTTCACTACTATATATTTTTTTCAACTTGAAGTTTATTGTCATTTCAAGATTGGGATGGGGTACAGAAATAAGAAAAGGCGGGGGGATGGGAGGAGGGTTGTAAGGTACAGTTGGCAATTCACAACAGTCCATACTTGTTCACAAAGGTAATCATTACATTGCGGTAGAGTTGAGTCATACTTAATACAAGAAAATCAGCGTCCCAGTCCTCCTGAACCCTTTTTGGGGGCAAGGGCCCTATGGATCAAGGTGCATTTAATTTTCAGTGAGAGCTCTTAATTCATACCTTTGGCCTAATTTGTGGACCTGTCTGAGTTACCCCATTGTTGTGTAATTTGGGTCTCGGATAGGACTGTGCTCACTGGCCCTACTTTCATCTGTCTGGGACAATCTCCTCTATCAGAAGGGGTGCAATGCATGTTCAAGTAGTATAGGTGTTCTTGGACTGGGTTAGTCGTGGTGAGCTTTGTTCTATGTTACCCTTAGTGGGAGTGCTGGGACCTGGGGTTATGGTGAGAACTTGGGTTGAAGTGAATGGCTCCTCCTTTGTTCTCAATGTTGTGTGGAGCTACGAACTGCTTGTGTGAGGTGTGGGGAGCAGTTGGGGGGACAGGATTGAAAGAGGTAACCTTAGTGTCCGCAGCATGCACGACCAAAGGGATCCAGCGTGTGTTAAGTGCCAAAGGGTTTTTCAATCGTCTCGAGTGCTTAGTAGTATGCTAACTCACTGTGTTGAAGTGGTTTGTTTGTAGGAAGCCCAGATTTGTTGGGCAGTGGGGCTAAGTTTCCCTATCTTAGTCTGGTGCCATATCATTACTTCATATTCTAGGGTGGCTGTCACCATTGTTTGTATTTCTTTGATGGTTGGTAGTGTGTTGGATTTCCAGTTTTTTACAATCAATGTGGAGGTCGATGTGAGTACTAGATATAGTATCTTTTGAATGTCCCTTGGCATGTGCCCGGGGAGCAACTTCAATAGGAATCTCTCTATGGTGCAGTCTACTCTGAAACCTGTTACTTCTTTTATCAGTGCTGCAACTTTTTCCCATAGGTTCTCCACCTCTGGGCACGTCCACCACATATGGAGCATTGTCCCAGAGATGTGGGCGATTGGCATCTCCAGCATTGACTAGTGACATTTGGGTATATTTTAGCCAGTTTAGCTTGTACCCTGTGCCATCTGTACAGGATTTTCCAGGACGCCTCCATATGTGTTGCGCATGTGGTAAGGCCCTTCTGTGCTGCAAAAATTTGGTTCCATTCCGCTTAGGTTAGCTCATGGCCCAGGTCTACATGCCAGTCTCTCATGAACCCCCAGGGCGACTCTCTTTTGTGTGCTTTTATGTGTTTGTAGCAGATTGATAGGGTTTTCTGAGGTGTGACCTTGTTCATACACATTGTTTGGAAGGGGGTTAGCCCAAGTCGATTTTTTGCTTGTGAGTGTGTACTTGAGTGCACTTTAAGAGTGTTTTCAGTTGTAGTTATGGGAATGTTAATCATTGTGGCAGCGAGTATGCCTCCTGTAGTTCTGGGAACGTTTTTAGCCCATTTTCTGTATATAGTTGGTGTATGTGGGTTAAGCCATGTTGTTTCCAGTTACAGTGATTGAAAGTATCATTGTATGCCTGTAGCGATCGTATAGGTGTTGCTAGGGACCATTGTTGTGTGGTGGTGGCTAAGCACCTGTGTTCATTCCAAGATTGGGGTAGAAGCCTGGTGGTTGAAAGAGTAGAGTTGGGCAATTTCAGTGGGCCTTTAGGGACCCACATCATCACTGCCAAGTCTTGTTGTTTGCTGTAGTGTTCCTCTATGGTTACCCATTGGGAGATGTATGTTTGGGAATGCATTCCTATAATGTTTGTAAGGTGTGCTGCTTGTAGATAAGCTTTTAGGTTTAGGAAATTTAGTCCTACCTTCTCATTCGCTTTCATGAGCAGGGCTCATGGAACGTGTGGATGTTTACCCCCCACAGCTAAATTTGATTCGAGTGGATTGCATTCTCTTTATGTAAGTGTGGGGAAGGTGGATGTGTAGCCATCTGAATAGGTAGAGGATTTTAGGTATTATAGTCATTTTGTTGCTGCAATTCTACCGAACCAGGAGAGGAAGTTATTTTGCCAACTGTGTAGTATGCCTTCTATCTCTTTCTGTAAGTTATTGTAGTTCTGGCGGTGAAGGTCTTTGTCTTTTTTGGTAATTTTAATCCCTAGAAAGTTGAGGTAGTCGTCCCTCCAGTCGTATCTGAATGTTTTTTTTAGTCTAGCTTCTAGTTCTGTTGGTAAGTGTATTCCCAAATCCTTTTTGTTTTGGTTACATTCAGTTGGTAGTACGATTGTTTGCTGTATGCCAGTATTTTGCATTTAAGGTACGGGAGAGAGATCATAGGTTGTGTAAGCATTAATAAGATATCTTCTACAAATAGGTTCAATTTCTAGTCCTTGCCCTTTATGAGTACTCCATGTATGTTTGGGTTCTGTCTAATTGCTTCAGCTAGTGGTTCCAGGGCCAGCACATACAGGAGAGGTGAGGGGGCAACCCTGGCAGGTTCTGTTTGTGATAGGGAAGGAGCCGGAGCTAAATCCTGAATTCAGGACCATTGCCGTCAGGGGGCTTCAACTGAGGAGATGAAATTAGGGGGGAAGCCGAACTTGGTGAGAACTGCTCGCAGGAATTGCCAATTGAGTTTATCAAATGCTTTTTCAGCGCCTAGGGAGAGAAATGTACTTGCTTGTTTGGATTGGTTGAGTATGTGATATATGTCTAAGACCTTACGTGTATTGTCCGGATCTTGTTTAACCACCATGAACCCCACTTGGTCTGTATTGATGAGTGCAGGAAGGATGGATGGACTTCAGTCTATCTGCATAAATGTTTGCATATAATGTTGTGTCTGCGTTTAAGAGTGAGATAGGGCGACGGTTTTGGCATACGGGGGGGGGGTTCCCTGGTTTTGGGAGTGTTATGACTTGTGCAGAGAGGAATTCTGTAGGGAAGGAACCCACCAGTGTTGCCCTGTTGAAGGTCTTCATTAAGTAAGGGACAATTGTGGTTTTGAACGTCGAGTAGTATAGGTTAGTTAAACCGTCATGGCGTCTATATGTCGAATGATTTTGTCCTCTGTGATTGGGCTGTTCAGTTGTGTTAATTGTTGTTCAGTTAAGGTGGGTAGGTGTATGCCCTGCAGGTATGCAGCAATAGAGGCCTCTGTAGGTTGAGTGACATCTGTGTGATTCTTGAGATTGTACAATGTGCTGGAATAACTCACAAACTCATCACATATTTGTTTTGGTTCATATTTCTTTTGTCCTGTTTAAGTTTGGAGGTAAGGGATTCTGGTCTCTGCCTGCATATCTCTGAGTCTCTGTGCTTGTGTTTTGGTGGCTTTGTTTCCCATCACAAAGGAGTTAGCTTTGAGTTTCTTAAGGGCATAGCTAGCTTTCTTGAATTTGATATTGTTAATCAATGTTTGAGTTTCTCGCATTTTATTTTTAGTCTCATCAGTAGGGCTTGCAGTTTTGTATAAGAGTGGTGGTGGGTTTTTTAAGGTATGAGGCTTTTCTGATCAGTAGACCTCTAATTACTGGTTTGTGGGTCATCCACAGGGTGGTCAGACTCATGCCTATCGTATCATTTGTTTCAAAGTATTGTGACAGTTCTGAATGTAAGGAGCTGACAAATTGGGGGTCCTGTAGGAGGTTCTCATTTAGTAGCCACGGGCTGCGGTTCTTGTATTTGTAATGGTCAGTCATGGAGAGCATGATCGGGTTGTTGTCTGACCATGTCGATGTGCCTATTTCGCAGGCCAAAACCTTATGTGGATGTGTGCTATGCATGAGGAAGCCATCAATCCTAGATTAAGTGTAGTGTCCTTGAGAGTAGTGGGTGTATTCACGTTCATTTGGGTGGAATGTGCACAGTATGTCATAAGGACCAAATTTAGTGAGTGTCTTGTTTATTGAGTTGCATTGTTTGTGTAGTAACTTTGATCTTGCAGAGGTGAAGGTAGCTGTGGAGTCTGTGGTCAGGTCTAGGTCTTGTTTGAAATCCCCACAGATAACCTTAGTCCCTGTTAGATACTGGGTGATATGGTTTAGAAGGTTGTGGAAGTAATTTGGTTGGTTAGTGTTTGGTGTATATACATTAACTATGGTGTATGTTTAGCTGTTAATGATGCACACTAGGATTATGTATCCAGTTTGTGTGACGAGAGCAATCTCGCCACAATGCATTGGAGAAGCCTGGTTGCTCGCCTGTTGCCTTTGGATTATGGCCCCATGTTAAAAGGCTTGATTTTCCCCTGCAAAGACAAGAAAGCCGGGTCATTTGGTGCTTGCCCTGTTTGAGCAGTGATTCCCCAGATTGCTATGCCATGAAGCCCATTCGTATAATGAAAGACTATGGGAAAGACTTTGGCTCCATGGCAATTGAACTGTATGTGTGTGCTCTGAGCGCCATTCAGTAATAATGTGCGCTCAGACCTAAGCTATCTGGGCATATGTTGCATGTCTATATTTTATGTCATAAATGTAACCTTGTGTATTTTATTGTATTTTACTGTCTTTTTGCTGCCATGTGTTCAATGGAGTTTTGCCTCTGTCTTTGGAGATAATTGGATTACTTCTAATTATCACCAGGATAGAAGACTCTGTGGAACTGGTTTTGGGCAGAAAAGCCATGCTTCCTGTGGTCACAAAGGACTACGATCTATCTTTTGAACCACTGGACCAATTTGTATGATTTTGACGTATGTTTGTATTTGGAGTATGCTGATTCTGAAAATTTAAGTGAATGAGTGAAGGAACTAGAGCACCGGGTATGGCAGGAGCTATGGCTGGAGGATGCCTACCAGGCGCTCTGGTGGTATATGGCACAGTATATACCCTGGACAGCCGAGCATGACAAGCCAGAGGGAGAGGAGTTTGATGGTCCTGGCTTGTTATGGGAGTCCTTTGCAGAGCCTGACTTCGGGAGCCCTGCGCAGACCAGACTTCAGGACATTTTCTACGAGAGGGAGGCTAGGCATGAGGTAGAGCAAGGCCTGGCTCACCTAGAAACCCTGGAGTGGTAACTGGAGCAGGACTACCGAGATCTCTTCCACTCCATTGGGAAGGCTCAGCAGGACAGCAAGGTGACAGACCCAGATCCAGACCCCTTCAGCTGGGAAGATATTGTAGAGCTTTACTGGTAGGAACCCCAGGCGGCAGGTGGAGATGGGACTGAGGTCTCTTCACCGGCCCTACAGGGATGCTGGACGGTCAGCCCAGATCCCCAGCGGCAGATTAATTTACAGGGAATAGAGAGCCATGTCTCCTTCCCCCAGCGGCAGTGTGAAGTGCAGGGAGTGGAGAGCATCGTCTCCCCTCCCCAGCGGCAGTGTACCTTGCAGGGAGAGGAGAGCAGCGTCCTCCCTCCCCAGCGGCAGGGTGAGCTACAGGGATGCTGGGTAGTCGGCTCAGATCCCCAGCGGCAGTGTGATATGCAGGGAATTGGGAGCCTAGTCTCCATTCCCCAGCGGGAGATATTGCAGGGAATTGGGAGCCCAGTCTCCATTCCCCAGCGGCAGAGTGTCCTACCGGGAATAGAGAGCCCAGTCTCCTTTCCCCAGCAGCAGGACTCTGTATTGGGAGTAGAGACAGTTGGTCTCCCTCCCCCGCGGCTGGAAGTATGTATGGGAGAGGAACTGGTTACCCCCTCTCCCCAGCGGCAGCTTAATGTACCAGGGGGAGACAGTAAGCCCCACAACTGTGCAGATGGGACCGTGGTCTCTGCACGTCCAGCACAGGGGGTAGGGATGGTCAATTCTTTGAGGAGGGTAGAATATTTTGGGGGGGATTTCAGTCCCCTTACATTAAATATGTATATTTGCATAATGTGTATATGGGGTCATTGTGTTGCTTGTTATAGAGACTTGTCTCTCCTTGGGGCCTATCAGAATTAGAGCATGTTGGGTGTGTCTGAGGTATGTCTTCCTGGTGGAGGTGACATAGCAAACTCTAAGTGTGTTACCCTGGCCTCCTGGGGCCACACTATCTCTCCCTTTTGGAATGGGGGTTGATTCATAGTCTAAAGGACAGTGTACCCTCTGGGTCGCTGGTGTGCAATGTTTGGGACAAGGTCATACCTGCTGTGGTGCAGAACAATTGTAAAACATAATTTAAACAGAAAACATATATAAAAACAATGTAACATGTACTTTTTAGATACTTTTAAATCAAAGGTGTCTGGTGAGTTTATCCAAATCACCTTCTGGGTGGGGGAATAGTGGGCGGACCGAGTCTGAATCCAGGTGGGACGGTCTGCCTCTGGGTGGGCTTCAGTCAGTTGAAGCACTATGTTAGGTTGTGACGGCTGGAACCTATTACAACTGGGTAAATATCAGTCGGGTGCTCTAGGGCTTAAGTGCCCTGAGCCTCTGCAAGTGGGCCTGGGCATCAGGGTGCAGTGGTATTGCCACAGCAAGTTGTTATTGGAGAAGGGGTGGCGTCTCTTACTTGTAAGGAATGGTACCAGTCTGCTGACACCTTTCTAGGGAGGTACCTGATGTCACAGGGCCTGTGTGAGTTGGGGAGTGAGGTCCACAGCGGAGGAATGAGAGCTCTATCTGGGTGATCTCCACGTTTCCCAGTATCATATACAAAATGACCTATGTATTACAGGCATCCCTCGTTCTAACTATCTAGCATGCTGCCCCTTAGTTGCATGTCCAGTTGAGTCTCCTGTGAAGCCATCTGGGAAAACACATGTGTAATAACCTTGGTATAACTTTGAGTTGCAGGCATGGGTACAATAACAGTTAAGCAGCATAATAACACATTCATATACTCAATATGTCCACTCTGTCCCCTCCCATTTTTGTGGAACCTGAGCGCCCCTGTGGCATGCCAGCTATCCCTGGGCTACCCTCCCTGGAGCACATTACCCTTTTTCCCCT